AATAGGTAGACAAATATATCATCCAAACCAGAGTAATCTAAGAGGTCGAATGTACTGATGCAGCTTTGAACGACGCCGACGTAGACGATACAACTGCCTAGGCCGGCGGAACATTGGACTTACCCCTTAGCCGGAGATCAAACACCGATGCAGCCCCGCGTCAGGTGCCAAGTCCCGCCGGACGATAAAATAAAGTAGAAAAGGTAAAAGGTGGCGATGCGCCGAATTGTATTGATCGTTAAGATAGATTACATAGACCCCGAGTGTACATATTTATACCTATGGGTTGATACAAGTCCTTGTCGGACAAGAAAGAAACTTTCCTAAAGATAAAAGGAAAAGATAAAGTCCTTATAGGACACTAAACACACTTTTCTAAAGATAAAAGGAAACTAACAAACTATTCCTAATTAATAGATAACTTGCTATGCCGCATTCTCTTTGAACTCGGTCTCTTCTAGATAAGCTTCCTTTAGTAGATCAATTTCCTTAACCGAATATAGCAAGAATCCGACAACTGACGACTTGACAACTCTCATCAGCTAATCTCAGGACTTCGAAGCCGATGCTGACTCTAAGCCGATGACTACTCCGGGCTTACCAAATTTCAATGTTAACACAGTATAATCAGTCTTTTTTTTAATTTATTCTCTTGTGTGTGCTTCCATATATATGATGTAGGTGTTGTTTCTTTTTTCTGCACCAAACAGTCATATTCTATTCTTTTCTCTTGAAACATATAGCTTGGCTCATAGCCTGCCATCTGTTGGAACTATGTTACACTGGTGTTAATTTTCTGATCTAGAGTCATCTTGATGAAACACAAGACATAAGGGTGTGTTTGGATAATGGGAAATAGAGGGTGGGATTGGGATTGGGAAATGAATGAAGGGTTAGGATTAAATAGAAGAGAGAGAATGAACGGTTAGGATTTAAAGATATCTTTTGATGGGTGGTAAATCATTTCCCTTTCCCATTAGCCAAACATTACCTAAAAGTTGATTACTTGTTTTTTTTACATGCTAATATATAAAAGAAGAATGTGCATTGCACGTGCATGATTACTAGTTTAAGTAGTAAAGGTGAAGTTGTTTTGTTGAGATTCATGTACCATTAAAGATTCGTTACGTTAACACATTAATTTTTCGTCAGTGTCCTAAAAAAATCCCTCATCCACAACATCCGAGATGAGAGTACAAGATAAAAAGAAAATCATCCAGAGTCCGCAGCAACAACCAAATGCACAAGCGATTCAGCGAAAATTCATTGCAAACATAGATACAAAATCCAATAGGACAATCAAGCAAAAGAGGAAAAAAAATAAAAACATCACCGGAAGCCGCCGCCACCTTCGTAGCCGTCGGATTCGATGCAGGAAGCAGCCGCCGCCGCCGCCACGCACGTAGCCATCGTCGCTGTCGGATCCACCGCGGGAAGTCGTCAGCACCGTCGTCACCGTCGGATCCACCGCGGGAAGCCGTCTCTACCGCCTCGGGCCACGGGAAGCGACCGGCGCCGTTGGTGCTGCCGGATCTACCCGCAGGAAGCCGCCATACTAAGAGGCGCCACCAAGAGGGGAGGAGAGGGGGAGAGGGAGTAGCAGAGAGGGGGCGGCAGAGGAGGAGCGGCACCACTGGTCGGGAGAGGGGAAGGGAGGGGGAGAGGCACCACCAGGAGGGGTGGGGAGGGGTGCGGCGGAGGAGGAGCGACGCCGCTGGTCGGGACAGGGGAGGGGAGGAGGAGAGGCGCCACCGGTCGGGGAGGGGCCGAGCGGAAGGTGGAGCTCACGGTCGGGTGAAGGTGTGATTAGGGTTAGAGTGTTGATGGATTTAGAATCAATCTGAGCTGTCCATCAAAACGAATGGCTCATATCGATCCCGCATCGGGCCGGCCTCCATATCGGGCCACAGCACCACACGCGCTTCATGTGCTGGACGCGTAATAGCAGGCTGATAGGGTCTAATGGGCCTTTTTTTTACAACTTATTTTATTTCTATAAGGAATTTTTTTAATGGCTCATATCATAAAAAACTAAATCCTAATCATCTAATAATTTTATATTTGTTATAATTTTAGTTTACCCGTTGCACACAGGTATTTACTTATTAAAATTGTTTACATAATAAAAAAATTCTTGACATGTCCCCTCTGCTCTTTTTTTTCTATGTCCTTATCTGCTCTTTTTTCAATTATTATTTCCCTCATTGTCTAATCTTCTTTCATTTTTATGTCTACTTATTAATATTTGACCTCAAATACAATTTGTAAATCAAAAACAATACTTACTCTCACAAAATTAATAAGATTTATTAAACTCCACACATTTTCCTCAGATAACAATACACAGGTATATTCCCACAATGCAAAGTGGGTATAGTTTAACTGGATAGGTTTCTTATGGTGGAACCAGTCAACCTGGATTCAAATATTTGATTTGACATGGGTGCTCGAGGCATTCGTGGTAACGTCGTCAATCTCAATGTTCACATTGTGAGCGCGTTTATACTATGTGTTTCTAAAAAAATTTATATTCTCGCAATTCAAAATACATTGAGTATGAAAATTCCACTCGTATATTATTACACTTACCTACATAAAAAATACATATTTTCATTCATGATACAAATTTCCATCCGTCGCCTTTTGGGCAAAGACAATCGCATTGTTCGTCCATCCATTTTCTCTCGTGCTACGAATCATCCAAACTAACACATCATATATATTCCGCAAATATATAGCAGATTATTTATCGGACATATCTAAACCAAACAACACTTCTTGTCACTGTACACACTCCGTAATCACCAGGTGCAACGCACGGGCACTTTTGCTAGTGTGTGTGTGTGTGTGTGTGTGTGTGTATATATATATATATATATATATATATATATATATATATATATATATATATATATATATATATATATATATTCTTGTAAATAGGTTCAACATGCTCAAAGATTAGTGATAGATTAATATGATTTTTTAAAGCAACTTTCCTATAGAAACTTTTTGCAAAAAACGCACAGTTTAATAGTTTGGGAAGCGTCCGTACGGAAAACGAAACAACATCTCCCTTTCTCCAGCTGCCGGTAGTTGATATACGGCATGTGAAGACATGAGCGCCTCATTGTCATGACATTGATGAAACTATTTGTGAAAGAAAGTTAAAAAACTAAACAAATATTTTAGAATTTGGCGGCTGGATGTTTTGGGTGGTGTCCGATAAAGGCTAGTGTCGTCCCTGGTAAGGACCGAGCCATGAAGTTAAGCATGGAACGATCCTAGTACGACCGTACTTCTCGTATGGGTATAAATCTAGCAGAGTAAATAGCTGCGCGGAGGCGGTACCCAAGAAGTGGTGGTTTCATTTAGATGTGTGAATAGGCGGAGAGCCTACGATGGATAAGCATATGTGGGCAACCAAATTAAAACCTAACTTAACTATAACTTAACGCATGTGTGAGTTTTCCCTTCCCAGTAACACTAGAACTCCTCTCACTGCTAGAAACTGTGTATGCCTGCATGAGGGATCAAGTTCATGGAGCAAGTACTGCCAAAGTGAGGTTATTGAAATGCTTTGCTGTGACGCGTCTCATTCGTTGGGACTTCGGATCATGTGTTGGGCAAGTCACGAAGTATGGGTAAAATGTACATCCACTACAGTTTGAGTAAACCAATCTATTTGAAAAGCCGTGCTCGCAGATATTGAGCACCGGGACATGTATTACACTTGGCTAGACTCTTAACTTTTAAAATGATGAAACGGATGTTGCATGATGATTTTGTACTAGTAGATCAACTTCTCGGGAAGCGAGAAGGGGTAACCCCAGAAAACCATGATGACTCAGTGGCGGAAAGCTATCCTTAAAAACACAATAGATGGTGGACAGAATGTCGCTGATTAATGAACAATGGAACTAAAACTTGATTAGTCTATGCTTTCTTAGGCTTATGAAAAGAATTGCAAAATTGGTGGTGGTGGCTTGAATATCTTCCATATGCATTGTTGTTGCAGTGACTTGTTGAGTACGAACGGTTGGTATTCACCCTTTCTATTTACAAATTAATCAGGAGTACTATCAGGAGGTTGCCGAAGATGATAGCGTTCAGTAGGTCTTAGATACGGTCGTTGCCTGTGACAATAACAATACCGCTGCATTAATTCTGCTGCCTTACCTTAATTCTGCTTTTGAATACATTCCAAACTATTTGGTTCTATGTTCCAGTCTATGCCTGTGGGCTCTATGATGTAATAAATCGCGCAAGACACTTTATGTATGTGCACTTGACAAAATCAGCTATGTAATCGTGAGTATCAGACTACTATTAACATGAATGATTCTTGTTATAAAAACAGGGGTCGTCACCACTATTCCTTTTTCTTGGGTCTTTTTTCCATATTACAAACTTAATAGCTGACATCCTTTTCTTTCAAAATCTGGTCAGAAGCAAGCCGTTGATCCTTTACGCACAAGAGAGGAAACTCACTAGGTATGGATGGAGATCGTTGGAAAACAGTGTAGTTATAATATTGTGAAACCTGGTAACTAAGCAGCAGCTAATTGGATCAAATTACCATGTTAGTGGCAAGGCAAAGTCTACGTTGTTCCATTGCATGTAGCATATACACTAAAACAGAGATGCACGAGAAGGGTTTTTGCATAATAAACCATTTTTCATGACCTACAGAGAGAACAGACATGAAAACAAGTACTTACTCACAGTTTACTACACCTGTAGCAAGAGATAAAATAATCATATCATGGTTATTTTGATCTGTCTAAACCTCATCGAGTAAGGGTCGATCCTGAACTGCAAACTTGATTATGAAGTTTCAGGAATAAGTACATGAATGTCTTCAGGTTGCCAGAAAACCGTACATAGATTGCAACAGCATAGGACAATAAGTGCAAAATATTGGATCATGACAATGACATGGCACAAATCGTTGGGATAGGATATTCTCAGTAACCAGCAGTAAAAAAATAAAATGGCACTTCCTGTTCCTAACCTTTTCTCTTTTTTTATCTGAATTTAAATTAGGAATACATGAAAAACTTCACATCCAGGACAGAGTTGCAAGGATGATACAATTACAAATGCACATAAAGTACTACGTTTGGATCCAGATCCAAATTCAAGATAAATACAGGATATGACTGGTAATCTAGCATTGAACCATGACCAACATATATGTCCTCAATACAACAGGCAATTCAAAATTGAACAATAATTAACAGACTTCTTTTCAAATAAAACGAAAGGCAGAACCATTAAAAGCTATCTGCAATCTTTCCCTTCAGCAACAGTAAGATACCAGCATGGGAGCAACGTTGAATGAGGCTAAATCCTCAGCAAAGCACAACCAGAAATGCTCCCTCGACAATGTGTCATTGGTGATCCTGGTAGCCAGGTTGGTCTCTCACTAGTAACATTCAAGATATCAACATCAGATAGTGGCTTGATGCACTGATTTCTTGGCCCAGGTCCAATTACTCCACCAACCAGATATATGTTGTCTCCCAAACCAATCATCCCAAAACCTATCCTGCTTTGGAATTCAGATGCACACGACACCATCTTATCAGGGAAATTCACACCACGCTGCTTCATAATGCAACTATTGCTCAGCACATAAAGCTCCCCACGAACCATTGCCATCGGACCTTGCAGCCAAGAGTAGTCCTCAACAGCCCAAGCATTGCCATCTTCAAGAATCTGCACTGTTGGTAGGCCTTTGTGCAATACATGCATCTTACCCTTTATGACAAGTCCAGAGCATGCAGAGCTGTGTGCTTGACGTAGGTCAGGGAGAGGCTCCCACGTGTCAGCTTCAGGGTTATAAATCTCAGCCTTTGATATTGATTTGCGGCAATTTGTGAAGCCCCCAGCAACAATTATGTTCCCATCCAGTGCACAACAGGCAAACATTGCGCGAGCTACAAGCATTGGAGCCCTCTGGACCCATAAACGACAGAGAGGATCATAAGACCAAACCTCATTGCTTGCAAAGATCCTGTCATGGTCTCCAGTAAGTGGGTCAACTCGATCACTGCCACCACCAATTACATAGAGCTTGCCTGCAACCGAGGCCACTCCAAAACGAGCAATATTCCTAATCTGAGATGGCATGACAGGAAGGGTTATCCACTTATCTCGAAGAGGGTCATAAAGCTGCCACATGTTTTCAGGTTCAAATGCTAACACACATAACAGGTCTTCAGTCGCACTAATCTGATTCCTAACTTTGGAAAGCTCACCATTTCGAACAGATGCTCTCCAAGAATGGCAGACCATTTGAAGAACAGGATGGGACAAAAATGGCACCCGTGCAAGGCACTGAAGAGCAACTTCATTAGGGAGACCATCAATTAGTGTTGACATCATTGAGCACTCAAAGATATGATCTCATTATACAGCAAGAAAGTCGCAAGACTGAGCCTGAAAAATAATCAATATATGAAGTTATGATTACCGTACATGAAAAACTGCCAGGATTTTCAAATAAATGATCAGAGTTTCATCTTAAAGATATCATTCAAACTGATACTCAATGAAAAATGATATGATGCAAACAAAAGCAGCACTCAAACTTGAAACCAACACATAACAAACAATTAAGGCAACCACCCTAAAAGTGGCTGAAGGTGAGCGTGAAGGTTCATCACATTGTATATCTTCTATATTACGGATTTTGCCACAAAGAACTGAACATGATGCATCCAGTCTCATGATTGTCTACCTAGCCCACAGTAGAGGTAGCAATATATATGTGGGAGGTCTCTTCCAAAATATATTTTTACCAAAAGTAGTTTATTTTATTTGGAAGTAAGTTATAATGCCTAAGGATAGAAGGGATTTTATTCCAGTAAACATGAAAGCCAATATCAACCATGACACTTAATATGCATCTAATATGTTCTTCAAATTTCTGACTGTGAATGCAATATATGATGACAAACAACAACATGGCATCAGGGGAAAAGATTAGCCAATTGATTATGTACAAAAGTTGATGAAGTGGCATTGTACTTCTTTAAAACTCAATGGATTTTCACTCATGTTCCATATATATCCTCTAAGACAAATTGGTGTTCGGTCATCTCCATTTGACGAGGAAAAGCAGATAGCATATAGGTTACACTATCAATAGGCATTCATCCACAGTATTTCTTTCAGTGGCCACTAAGTTATACTATGAAGGAAAACAGTGCATTAAAGAATCAGAATAAGGTCATTTTGCGTCAAAGTTTTCAACTTTTCACTGAACATATCAAATTACAATAAATAGAATAAATATATGCATAAACGAAACAGAAAGCGTGTAATCTAAAAGGCCCACTAAAATTTGGCATTCTCCCACATTTCATATCCGTTACTAACATGAAATTAGAAACAAACTAAACCGAAAAGAATCCAAGATAGGGCAATAAAAGATTGATAAGAAGGAAGATTTCTCGATAAATAAGGAAGAGGGTAAATTACAGTTGGTGTACCCACAATACTAGTTACATTTTTCAGATAGAGAATATAAGCTAGGTATAAAGAAACTAAGAAATAAGGTCAGGTAGTACAGATACAAAAGCAATAAGAATTAGGAAATGAATTGCATAGCATCTTCCAGAATGGTTCTTTCTTCGTAACAACCAAGGATTTTTGACATGGATAGATTACTAAGAGACTATCCTAGTACACAGTTACAGACAAATCACCGGAAATTGAAAAGTGCAAGGTGTTCCAAACCAGGGGGCGGATCCAACTTGGGACATGGGGGTTCACAAACATTTCGGGGAACAAACAAACTGTTACTTGTATTAAGGTTAAGGCTCTGAAATTAAGGGAAGAGCTTCTTCCAGATCTAGAATAGAAGCTAGGGTTAACGAACGAACGAACGCAAGCAAATTCCAGTCCCGATGGGAGAGAGAGAGAGATGAATCAGAAAGAGGCTCACCAGGATCCCCTCCCCTCCCCTGCTCTGCTCGCCAGATGGAGATCGCCGCCCCCGACTCGTCTTCTTGGCGGCGCAAGGAGCGGAGGAGACGAAGAGACGGGAGATTTTCTTTTCTTTTACGCCACAAAGGGAAGGGGAAGACGCTGCCTATTTCTTTCGTGCGTGTCCTGCTCTTACTCACAAGTCTCTCTATAGCCTTATGTTATGTATATGCAAAATCATCCTGGGCCCACTAGCTAGCTGAAGCATATCCTGGCCTTTTCTTTTCTCATTTAGACTAAAATCTACCATAAACAATTCTATTTTATACATGTAACTTTATTCGTATAAAGTTTACATATACTAACTTTATTTACATAGTAATTTTCAGTAACATTTTATATGTAAACTTTACACAGGTAAACTTTTCACATGTAAAGTTTATATATGATTTAAAATTCCTTCTCTAAATAATAGAGAAAAATATTCAAAGATAAATTTTGCTGTTGTGTTATGATTCAAAAATGAATACATATTTTGTGATCACAAAATAATAACAAACTAGAATAAAAAATAATTTCACAAAAGAAATAATAAAAGTAAAAACAAAAATGAATGCATACGATGTGGAGGCATTATTGCGAGTGAATTTGTTACTTTCGAATGAGCATATGTGGAAGGCTATGAGTAAATGAAAAACTCCACGAAGTAAATTTGTTACTTTTGAAACGTGCGGAGATACTAGAAAAACGGAAAACTCAGAAAGAAAAGCTAGACGGTAAATATTTTACTAAAATGCGAAAACAGAAAAACTATATAGAAGGAATGAATAACAGAAAAATCAGGATGGTTAATATTTTGCCGGGCCATTGATGAATCACGGATGAGATGGAAAAGAGAAAAAAGAAACACAGAAGGTGAGGTGGTAAAAAAAAATGAAAAAAAACGAACCGGGTAGGATGCGGAAGAAAGGTGGGGTGGCAAAAAAAGGGAAAACCGGAAGGAGAGGGCGTTGTGTGGCGCTCGAACTATTATTCCGCGCTGTAGCGCGCGGAATGTAAAATAAAAGGTGTTTTTGATTATTATTCTGTGATGAACAATTAGCATTGGAGATTATTGGTGTTGATATTTGGAATTTATTTGTAAAGTGGTTTTGGAGATGATTGAAATTTACAGGTGATTGACAGGGACTGCTGTCTGTTGGGTCCGGTCAGACCGGCGCAGCCCACGGTCTCACCGGCCGACTCTGTGTCGGTTTCGGTTTCGGGTTGTTTGTTTGGATATCCGTGATTGTTTCATGATTGTGGCTTCTAGATGGATACTATACGTATGTAATACTGTTGTTTGTTAACAATGAGTCAAGTTGGGGATAGCTTGATCTCGGAATATGGTTTCTTTGTTCTTTCTATGTGTAGGTCACTCGAGATGCCGGGAGAGTATTTGCGGCGATGGACCGGGAGTCGGCTTGGGGATAAGACGAAGTCCGTGGTGGTCAGAGATCATGCGGGATACTAAGGCTAGAGTTCAATGCACGTGGTTGGTGAAGTTTCCATATGGCATACGATGGATGTATTCTGTGCGTATGGAATGCGGAGTTGAATTTGGAAGGAGTCCAAATTTGGTATGATTGGTTATGTAAAGTTTATTTCTTGTACGAGAAGGTTTCCTATGAGGATTAGGACTTCTAGTATGAGTTTGGTTCGTGGCTTTAGGCTGCCTACCTCATGTATAAATAGACAGGGAGCGTGAGGCTTTCCGGTATCGCTTTTGAGAGCAATTGAGTTGATAGTTGAGTTAGGGTTTCGAGTTTAGTCAAGATTTTTGTAAGGAGTGTTGTTGGTGCACTTCGTAAACACAGAGAGAATCAATAAAGTTGTCATCCACTTTAAGAGTTCTTCGATTTATGTTTCATCGGGTTTCAGCGGTCTAACCGGCGACACACCGGCGGTCAGACCGGCGGCATCGCGGCGGTCCGACCAGCGGCATTAGGGCGATCAGACCGGCGGCGGCAGTAGACGACAGGAGCTGATCCAGGCGGTCAGACCGGAGTTACTACCTCTGTCAGACCGGAGGTATTCAGGCAGTCAGACCGGTGCAATTACTTCGGTCAGACCGCGATCCATCGAATTTGAGGGTAACTTTTATTTCCGCTAAAAATTTTGGTTTTTGGGTATATCAACCATTCACCCCCCTCCTCTGGTTGGCTTAGTTATTGTGATTCGATCCTACAAGTGGTATCAGAGCCTTGTTTTCTCCTTTGGATTTTAACCGATCTAGAGTTTTTGCCATGGCTGCTAAGTTTTCAACTAAGCCTTATGTTTTCAATGGAACGGATTTTTCTCATTGGTGTAATAGGATGCAATCTTACATTATGGCTGAGGATTATGATATTTGGAGAAAAGTTTCTCATCCTTATGTGGTCCCTGAACGAATTAATATTGCTGCTTTAAAAACTGATTTTGAACAAAATAGCAAAGCTCACAATATTCTTTTGAGTGGGATTTCTCGTTCGGATTATGATTGTGTTTCTCATCTTCAAACTGCCCATGAGATTTGGATTGCTTTGAGTAATTTTCATCAAGGAACAAATAATATTAAAGAGCTTCATCGAGATCTTTTCAAAAAGGAGTACATTAAATTTAAGATGAAACCTGGAAAAGCTTTGGATGACTGTCTTTCTAGGTTTAACAAAATTTTGAGTGATCTTAGTCTGTTGATTCTTCTTATGATGCTAATTATACACAATCTGAGATTTCTCGCCACTTTTTGAATGGTCTTGACATGTCTATTTGGGAGATGAAAGTTACATCTATTCAGGAGTATGTTGATATGTCTACTTTGACTTTGGATTTGCTTTACACAAAACTGAAAACACATGAGATGAATATTCTTTCTCGTAAAGTTGATTCTAAGTTGAGTGCTTTGGTTTCTTCCTCAACTTCTTTGGATGTTGATTCTTCTTCATCGAAGTCTTCCGTATTTGCTTTGTTTAATGCCATGTCCGATGATCAACTCGAATAGATCGAGGAGGAGGACTTGGTTTTGTTATCTAACAAACTTTCTCGAGCTATGACTAATGTTAGGTACAGGAAAAGAGGTGGACCAAATCGTTGCTTTGAATGTGGTTCTACAGATCACTTTCGTTCGCGATGTCCTAAGCTTGGGAGAGCAAGGAGGGAAGATAATGGTGATGAGAAGACCAATGACAAGAAGCCGAAGGGTACTTTCAAAGGGAGGAAGATCAAGGAGACTCTCAATAAGGCTTTTGATCAAGTCTACGCTGCGTTTAAGCCACTAAGCGATGTAGATGGTGATAGTAGAGATGAAGATAAGGGAAAGAACATCTCCAGTGTTTGCTTCATGGCGTGTGGTGAATCGGATTCAGGGTGTGAAGACAATGAGGTACATACTTTTGAGGAAGCTATTCTTATTTTAAGTGCAAAAAATAAGAAGTGCGAGAAGATGTATAGAAAATAGGAATTTTTCATTGAATCTCTTAATTATGAAATTGTTAGATTAAATTCTCTTATTCCTAATGATGATGATTACAAAAATTGTGAGGTTTTAATGAATGAGATTTCAAAAATTAGAGGTGTCAATGCTGCACATGATTTGAAAAATAAGTCTTCTCTGGCTCTTGGATTTGCTTTGCACACACACACTTTGGATGAGTTGTTTTTAACTAAAAAGTTGTTGCAAAAATATCAAATTGCTTTTCATGCTAGTTTGATGTTTAACATGATTTGTGCTAAAAAGTTAAAACAACCACATGATGTTTTGGATTGCTCAACATGCACATTAAACAAGATTAAACTAAAAGATGTTTTAGGTCGTGTTGAGTACATGGAAGATGTTGTGAAAAACAATGAAGTGCTTTCTTGCCCCAAATATCGTAAAAGCAAAGGTGTCATGGTAGATTGTGAAAATTGTGCTAATTTGGAAAAAGAGGTTTCTTATTTGAAAAGTTCTTTGCAAAGATTTTATGAAGGTAAGAAACAACTTAACATGATTTTGGATCAATCTAAAGTGACTAGTTACAATAGGGGTGTTGGTTTTGATGTTCATGATTATTTCACCAAAAATCAACCAAATGTTTTGAGTGGATCAATCTAAAGTGACTAGTTACAATAGTGGTGTTGGTTTAGATGTTCATGATTATTTCACAAAAAATCAACCAAATGTTTTGAGTATGACTGAACGTGGTGAAATTTATACAAAACCAAGTGAAAAGAAAACAGTTTTTAAATCTGCTGGAATTTTGCCTTCTCTTTCTGCAACACTAAAAGTAACAAAAACAAATCTTTCAAAACCATCTTCTTCTAAAGAAAAGTATACTTGTTCTTTTTTGGCAAAGATGACATATTGTTGGTTTTTGTTTCAGATTGGCTCATAAACAAAAAAGGAGAGAGAAATTGCTTTTACAAAATTAAAGTGGCAAAAATCTGGTTTTCCCTCGAGGAAACCGGTCTGACCGCAGTGGGTCCCGCGGTCAGACCGGCTACTGAGCGGCGGTCAGACTGGCTTCGGTCAGACCGACGGTATAGCAGCGGTCAGACCGGCCCCCGGTTAGACTGGCTGTACTCGGCGGTCTCAAATTGTTTTTGCACGTGGATATATGCCTATTGGATCTACTGGTCGTGTGTCTTAGTACTGGATTCCTAAATTTTTATTATCATCTAACCCCAGTACTGAGGCTTCGACTTCTGCTTGTGTGTACGCTTTGGTGGCAAGGAAGGAGAACGTGTGGATCGTGGATTCCGGTTGTTCGCGGCACATGACCGGTGATAAAAATTGGTTCTCCTCCCTCAAAAAGGCATCTAAGACTGAATCGATTATCTTTGGTGATGCTTCTACGAGTGTTGTTCTCGCTAAAGGTTTGGTTAAGGTAAATGAGAAATTTGAATTGAAGAATGTAGCTTTGGTTGAGGACTAAAAGTATAATTTGCTTTCAGTTTCACAAATTGTTGATGAAGATTTTGAGGTTCACTTTAAGAAAACTGGAAGTAAAGTTTTTGATTCTTGTGGTGATTCTGTGCTGAATATTTCTCGCTATGGAAGAGTGTTTAAAGCTGATTTTGATAATCATGTTTCACCTGCGATAACATGTTTGGTTGCTAAGTTTGATAAAGATGTGATGTTTTGGCATCGTAGACTTGGACATGTTGGTTTTGATCATCTCACTAGGCTAAGTGGTTTGGAT